TCCCCTGTCAACAAGTCAGAACGGGGGGGGGGGAGTCTGCCTTCTGCACAGACCCTCCCACTTAGCCGCCAGAGTAGCACATGAGTGGGCGGTGTGTAATCTACAGTCCACATGGATCCCCCTCCCATCCCCGCACATTCCTGTACAGCCAATTTCATAAGAATCCTGAGAATTGCCATTTATTTTGCACCCTCCCCCTGCAAGTTTCTTGTTGCACAAACAGACTTTGAAACCATGGTGGGAAAAGTGAAAAATAACCAGTAACGGACAAGCAGAGGGGGGGGGAGGGGGGGGGAGAGAGAGAGAGAGAGAGAGAGAGAGAGAGAGAGAGAGAATAAAGGATCTGCCTCATTTCTCACTCCAAATTTTATGATTCTTGAGCCACATACACTTCATCATTCTGCAAGGACCAATTCAAGCCCTCTCTATCGGAGAGCACATAAACAACAAGAACACAAAAGCGAAATGTGAATTGACCAGACAGGGGTGTTTCACGCATGTTCAGAGGGTATACATATTATCATGCAAATACATGGAAACCAGCGGCACCTCTCCAAAGGACTAAATTTCTAGCGTGGCCTTTAGTACCGGACAAGTGGATCGCCACTGCCCTATCACTGACACCACTCCAGGTATTCACAAAACAAGACAGATCCCTTCAACTCACTCCACATAACGGCCCCTCCAAACATTAGGCCTCGGATTTCTCCCCAAAACAGCCCTCAGCTACAACTTCCTAAGTGCTTTCATTTCAAAACAGGGTGGAAAATTAAAGGCCCTGCCAGACAAGAGACAGAAATTCCCAACCAATCAAATAAGGAAGGTGGTTGGAACACAAAAGACTAGATTTCTTTTTAAAGGACGGTGTGGTGTTTGTGTGTGTGGAGATTCTGAGGTTGCTACCCTTCTACATTCAAGCTGCACGACATCGCAATCGAGAATGGCTGGAGAGGGGGGGCGGGGAGAGAGAGAGAGAGAGACCCCTTTACATTATATCACAGGAGCCACAAAATGAATGGCTCCTGGAGAAGGTCAGCATTCGAGCTCTGCCTGAGCCTTAAGGGCTTTGGAGGCTTGAATGCCAAAGCTAGGCGCTTTGTCTACGTTACAAGCTGCACAAACAAGATTTAACAAAGGCCTCCTTAGTCATCGTCTATAGATCGCTGGAATCAAATAATCTTATTTTGCTCAGCTGTTCACACACCGAAAGCACACTGGTGCCCCCAGGATCCTTAAAAAGGCACAGGGACACCCGGTTCAGATTCCCTTTTCTTCTCTCCCTCCCCCGAAAGCCGCCTCTCTCCCGTTCTCATAACTTTTCAATCAGACTTTGCAACCATATTTATTGTCACTTCCATTCATGTCATGCCCTTCGCTTATATGATTGAGATATGAATTACCGACTGTTACAGCTCTCGTTTTTTTTAAAAAAAGGAAGAAGAGAAAGGGAGGGAAGGAGAAGGTAGGTAACACACAACACAGGACTACCGAGAAGCCGCTCAAGGAGCTGGAACTTGGCAGAAACTCCCCCCGCCCCCCCAAAAAGCCAGTGCCTTTCCCCATGGGCTAAATCCAGATTTCTCTCTTCCAGAAAAAGGGGAACATCTGAAAATTGAAATAACTTGTGGATGTCACCAGCTCCTCTCCTCGGAGCATCTGCTATTTAAGATCAGCCTTGATTGATGACAGCTATTTTTTAATTGTTGCTTTTAAAATTTAAACACCCCCCTGAGACATTTTATAAGTGTATTAGTGCGTGGTGGGAGGCCGGCAGAGTGGGAACACAGAGAATTAGCATCCATGTGTTATTAGCACCTTCAGAACCAAAACATACACACACCACACACCTTGACAGGACCCTAAAACAGCCGATAATTTAGCAGGCAGATTTTATCTATATGTGCACACCGGCACACATACACACACACACTGGTGTTATGTTTGCACAATATTACCTAGGTGCAGAAGCTGCCAAATTAAGGATTCACATTATTTCCCATGTGAAAACAATGGGTTTTTTTACCATGGGTTCCTTAGGCAGATTCCGTCTTTTTAAAAAGGTTTGATTTTTTAAAGTACCCTATTTCTGTATTTTTAAACTAATATTTAAAACAGCGATAAGGCATGCAATGATTTTTTTTCAAATCCCCCCCATAGCACACACACACACACAAAGACACACTACTAACATCTCATTATGCTGTTCAGAGCCTGATACATTAGGAAAACATAATGTCTTACGTATAACTCAATTCCTGCTTCTTTTAAATGGGATAGTGGAACAACATTAAGATCTTCAAGAACCATATTGAGCTGAGGCCAAAGAGCGCTAAAAAAAACCCCAAAATGGCCAGTCTTCCCTACCTGTTTTCTCTTTGATTTCACACAAGACGTTAAAAAGTGCCGGCTTCATTCTGTGGCAGTTTAAAGCGTGTTTCCTGCAAGAGAAACCAAAAGGATTCAAATCAAGGGGGCCACAGCAGCTCAAGGGAACGTTAACATGACCAGATGGAACGGGAATGCAGAGGAAAATAATACTCAAGCCTCCGTTTAATTGTCTGCAAGCAAAAACCAGTTCATAACTTTGAGCAGAATACAGTAACCGGTTTGGTTTCACAGATGGCAATGCAAACTCTACCAGCACAGGACCTGTCTGGCAACTGGGTTTCAACGGCATTCACAAACCATCCTTGTTAGCTGAGCTGTTAACAGGGTCACTTCTTGGAGTACGCATAAGTCATTCAAAAAAAAAAAAAAAAGAGTCTAAGGATCATCATCTTCAAGCAGGCCAGGAAATCTCTCTCTCTCCCTCTCCCACCTTTCCCTTTCATTCATTCAGTGTTGTATTTCACTATGTAGAAGCCACTGGACTGGAAGCATTTGAAAAGCCCTTCCATGTATGGAATTTCAGTCCCTGAGTGAGAAATGTAGTGATGTGCTGCCAGGAGCAAACCTATGTATGGGGGGGGGGGGGGGGGAGAGAGATAATTATTCTTATGCTGCTATTATTCAGGTTGTTTATCTGCATGTATTAAAATCAGAGCACGTTTCTAAATATACACATAACTAGAATAGGATTCACAATCTGAAAAAATTTCCTGCTGTTTTAGAATATAGGTAAGTGGCTAGATTTTGTACGGATCTTTTCATGCTTTCTTATAAATGCAAGAAAGGCACGCTTTCTTATTAAATCGATGGGTATCGAGTCACAGCAGGTGCCCACTCCAGGAAAGAAACAATCTAACATTCTTTATTATTATTTTCAGATAAGCCATCTTGTAAAGATTTGTTATTTATGTAAAAGAGGTCTACTCTCTTCTGCCGAAGAAGACCCCACTTGGCTGTCCTTAAACAGCACCCCCCAAATCAGCTGCTTGCTTCACAGCCAGGCGGCCTCTCTGACCCCAGAACCCTATTCAGGCTTCAAAGTATCTCTTAGGTCAAACATCCCCCCAAAAAAATACAAAAAGAAAACTTGACTGCATCTGTTATCATCCCTATCACGGCCTCCAACAACTCTCAAATCCCTTACAAGGTGTGGTATTCAGTAGGATAGGAAAAGCCGAAACCACACACAAAGCCGGCTTGCTGAGATGTTACCACTGCAACTGTGAGTACTGTATAAAGCCAGTAACTGATTAAGCATCCCTCTATTCTTACTGTATTCTTACTACAGTCACTATATATATATTTAATATATATAAATATATTAAACCATGCAAAACATAAAGCATGAAACTTTCAGAGACGGCACTTCTCTTCTACTTGGCCCTCTCAGGCTTGTGCTAAACTGCATCTTCCCACATAAATTTTACCTCACATTTTCACCTGACTGCTGGTGTTCCACAAATCTGGCACTTCCCAGCCTAGCCAATGAGGCTGGAGTTAGTTCCACTAGCTGCTAAGCTAGTTAGTGCAAGATGTAGTTTTCGGGAGACAAATGGAGTTGAGAAATCTGCTCTAGCTGATGGAAGAAGGGCTCATCTAAGCAAAATGATAAAAGCATCAAATTAAAAAAAAAATCTAAAAACATGTTACGGAAACTTTACTGTCATTATCTTTATTTCTCTCTGTTGCTCCTTCTCCTCCGTAGAGTCCGATCCTCACATTTTTAGCTTGCAGTCCTGATGTTGTGGGTTTATGTATTATGCAGAGTGATACAACCAGCTATCTCCCATAATCTCAGGTACATCAAATCGTTCTGAAACATGTGTGCCAATACTTAAAAAAATTATTATTATCTTTTTCATAGAAATGCAGCTTGGCCTTCCAATGAAAGAAGCAAAAAATACTAATAAGGACAATCATGGCGAATTCAGCAGACACCTGTGTCCAGGCGGTGGGTCTCCATGCTGCTTCTTACACGAAAACACTTTCCCTGTAAGAGGTCTGCGGAGAAGTCCAAAGCCGCGCTGGGCAGCTGTATTCTTTGCCGGGAGGGCTCCCTTGGCAAGCGACGGCCCCGACTCGTCTCCGTGCCCCATTCATGTGTTCAGCTCCTTCTTTTCCCAAACAAGCCCCCCACCCACCCAC